GTCCTCGTCCTTCCCGGGGGTCATCTCGCGCACAATCTCGGGGGCCAAGTAGCACAGCCAGTCATGGGACAGCTTCAGCTGGTTCTCACGCCTGGGGGCCGGGACGGGAACACAGCCCCTCAGCAGGCTCCCTGGCACCCACCTACCCTCAGACACCACCCACACAGTACAGGTGAAACGTGAGTGCAGCACCCGGATCCCGGCCTGGCCCAGGCATCAGCGCCCGTAGGGGCCAGCACAGGAGACACCGCCAGGCTCCTCCAGGGAGGTGGCCAGCGGCAGGTGTGGGCTGGCTGCAGTACCTGGCCCCCTGCTGGGCCCGGCTGTCTGGGCAGGAAAGCAGGCCTGTGCTCTTACATCTGCTGGGGACAGGGCCTGGCTGCCCTCTTCCTTCCTCTTTGAGGATGTAGGAAGTAAGAGCTTGACACACAGCCACATCATGCAAATGTGACCTTTACCCTCACCTGGGTTGGGGAGCAGCTAGGTAAAAAATGAGCTGTATCCCAGCCTCCATGGGGCTGCAACTGAGCATCACATGCCACAAGGGACTAAAATGCCATCCAGGCCGATTCTGCACCACAGTCACAAGGCCCCAAGCCCACAGCCCCCAGCCCTCCCTGCAGCTAGGTCTGCTTCTCTGTAGCACAGCCTCAGTTCCCAGACCCTGAGCAAGGCCACCCAGCACCCCAGCTCCTCCCGTCCTACCCTGACCCCTAAGGCCAACTCACCGTTCCTCTCGGACCACACCCGAGATCCCAAATAGCCCAAAGTCTGTGATGACCACTTTGCCATTGTCATAAAAGACGTTCTTGGATTTGAGATCTTTATGCACAATGCCCTTGGCATGCAGGTACCCCATGCCCTGGAAAACAGTGAGGCTCGTGTCAGGGACGAGAGGATAAGTGGCGACACTGAGCTTTTACCTTGTGACAGGCTCTGTGCTGGATGCTCCCCAGGTCTCCTCACTGAATCCTCACAACCTTGTGCTGCATACTGTCTCAATGTGACAGATGAAGACATCAAGGCTCAGAAAGACAAGGTCCCTTCCCCCAAGGTACACGGCAGCTAACTAGCAGAGTTCAGATCTGACTCCAAGCCAGTCCGTGCTTTTTCTGCCCATCGGGCTGCCAAACGGTCACCTTAGACTTGGATGGGGTGCAAGATGTAGACAGGTGGTTGCCAGGAAGCCAAAGGGAGTGAAGAACCTATTAAGTAAGACTGGCTGGGGTGCAGCTGAGTGGTAGGGCACTTGCCAGCAGGCCCGCCCGGTCATCAAGGGCTCCAACAAGTTGGGGTCTCCACTGGGATTTGTAGTGCAGCTGGCCTCTGCTCTTGGGCAGCATAAAGGTCAGGAGTGAAAGAGAGAGACATTCCTACAAAGGGGTCCCCAAACTTGGCCACTGCCACTGTCCATACCATGGTAGGAAGAGCTCTGGATGAAGACTGAAATCTGGGGTTCAAGTTCCATCTCAACCCAGATCCTAACTCACCAGATGGCCTGGGACACAGTGCTAACTTCTCTGCAGCTCAGCCCCCTCAGCTGCCCATGCAAAGGGGTTGGGGTTGATTTCTAAAGTGTACTCTTTGGAAGGAACACTGCTGGGCCAGGTGCATGGAACACAGGTGACTCTCGGCTACTCTGATGCCCCTGGGGATAGGACTATACACCATGGCTGAGTGCTATCCTGGGCAACTCAGAAAGCAGCAGCAATAAAACTACTCTCCATGCTTCAGTGCATCACGTCTGTGCAGAGATGTCCCTGGCTAAAAAGGTGTTACCAAGAAGGGGTGGGAAGGGGACAGCTGACGAAAGACATACCCACTTAAGAAATAGAGTCAGCCACACACCAGAACCGACAGAACTCAGCCCCAGCAAGAGCACAGGAGAACCATTTAAGCAAAGGAGATTCTCCTCTGAAACAGGCAACCTCACCCTGGGCCTGTGGAGAGCTGTCTCTGTGATGGAGACGGGGAGCGCTAGGAAGGCTTTCCCCAAACTCTGAGATGCAAGACTGTCCTTCTGAAAATGCCTGCCCTTTTCCCAAACCCAACCAAGGCGTGAGCCTTCCCAGGAGCCAGACAGAACCAGAGTCTACCGTGGGCCGGAACTAACTGGACAGGTCATGGCACTACTCTGAGCCTTACTGTGAAAACAGGTATCATAACCTGAATGGGCAAGTTTAAAGGAACAGAATGCAAGTGGCTGGTTCTGGATGCTGATTTTCCTTTTCCAGAATTCCACAGGTTATCTGTAGGGTCCCAAAACTGTAAATTCTCTCACCGAAGGTCCAGCCACCTTTATTTCTTTTGGCCAAAGCATCACAGATAACTCCACAAAGGAAGTGACACTTAGGCCCCAGCAGAGGGAAAGAGGAGGCTCCCTCTGCAGGGTGGAAAAAAGCCAGCAGGTAGGCAGCTTCTAGTTCTGCAGCTCTACAACCTTTTAGTGCCTCATCTCTGGGGCCTGGAATCATCCTGAAGGCTCATCCTGACTTGCAGTCAGCATCCAGACACACACTCCCCAGAGGCAGAGACGGATAGAAGCGGAGCAGGGAGGAAAACAGGGTTAGCAAGACTGGGGTGGGGACAGACAAGAAACACTGCAGATTCCTCCCCCCACACACACACTTCTCTAAAAGATGATGGAGGACTACAGGGAAGGCAGAAATGGCAGCTCTGCGCTTTGGTTTTCAAAAGTTTAATTCAGCGGCTGGAGAGATGGCTCAGTGGTCTAAAGCACCTATTTGGAACAAGCTTGGAAAAGCATAGGGACGGCGGTTCGATCCCCCAGCACCACATGCCAGCCAGCCGCGCCCCCTGGTGGGCTGAGCTGGCCACACACACACACACACACACACACACACACACACACACTAAATAAATGTTAAAAAAAAAATTTAAAAAGAAAGTTTAATTCATTAGCTTGGTGACTCAAAAATAGCTTGGATGTCTTGGTTTACCCACAAATGCCATTGTGATTTTTATGTTTTCTAAAGAAATACACACTGTGCAAAGGAAGGGAAAGGAAGACAGAATAGGAAGGAAACAAGGAGAAAAGGGAGGAAAGAAAGATGGGGAAAATTTTGCAGGAGCTGGTAAGAGACAGAAGCTTGCCAACATAATTTTTTTCCAAAAGGGAAGAAAAGGACTTCTATTCAGCTGCATTTCAGTTTTTATTTGGGCCTGGGTTTTTGTTAAATAAAGCAACAAATTAGCTCTTTTTTCACTTTGAATTACTTTTTTCAAAATAAGGAAAGAAAGGAAGGGGCTTTTCACTTGGGTGCAAGGGCTTACCCTCAGGAAAATGGCCTTGCAAATGTCAAGACCATGAAAGCTTGGGTCTTGTGCCCCGGAGGTTCAACGCCACCAAAGATGCACAGAGACCTCACTGAGCGCTGGGGGCCAAATGCCTTGTCCACGATGACCGCACTTTATGTCTGCACTGATTCAATGAGGGCAAGGGCACTGGCAGCCCCATTTTACAAGCAAGAAAACCCCAAGACCACACAGCTGCTGCAACCTGGAGCTGGGCTGTTTGGAGACCCAGCTGAGTTCCCCCTCAGCTAATTCAGGTCTCCCAGGGCCGAGCAGGTGAACAGCTCCAGCTACAAGTACAAAAGACAGCAACAGAGAGAAGGAGGTGGCCCCACCCGAGGAGCCCCAGCTAGCAGGAGAAGCGGCGCATGCAGCCACCCCACGCTGACACACGCAGACACGGCAGGAGGCAGGACGAGGGCTCTGAGGGCAGCTGTGAACCCCTCCAGCTGCAGCGCGCCCGTACCTTGATGATCTCCTGAGCGATCTGCCTGGTCTTGTTGATGTCCAGTGACGTCTTGGGGTCCCTCACAAACGAGTGCAATGTCCGCCCCTTGCAGAAGCTGTTGGGGGTGGTGGGTTCTGTCAGGCCGGGACTGGCACAGCCACAGAGGCCGTGTCCCCACCTGCTCCAGGAGCGATCTCCACAAAGCATGCCTGTACGTAACTGAACCCAATGCCCGTTCCTGCTGGGGTCTGGCCTGAGAGGGCTCAGATGCCCCCATCCCAAACCCCTCCCTGCCTAAGGCCCAGGCTCACCCAACCTATAGCAGGACACTTGTCCCACCAAGCTCCCTGCAATCTGGGGTGGCCCACTGCAGTGGGGCCAAGACAGGACCACAGGCAGCAAAACTCAAAATGGGCAAGAACCCAGCCTCTTCCAGCTACTTCCAGGCAACAGCAGGGCTCCGGTGCTCACCGTACAGGGCTCTTGATTGCTTTTATTATTTTTAGCCCTCAGGGCTTTTCTTTCTTCTTTTCTTTTTTTCTTTAAAGAAAGCCATGCGGCCAGGGAAATAGCTCAGTAGATTAAGCGCTTCCCTGCCAAGCACAAGGGCCTGAGTTCAATCCCTGGTTCCACCAAAAAAAAAAAAAAAAAAATCGAATAAAATAAAATAAATAAAACAAAGCCACGCATACAGAGGGACAAGACCCTGGGGTGGCTGTCAGAGGAGCACAGTGATTATGGGAAAGGGAATTTGTATTCTTGGGCCTCCACCTATATATCAACTCCAAACCCAGGGTTACAAAGGATCCATGCAGGGGTGGCTCCTTGTCCTCTTCTGGGTGGGGAGGCTAGCTCATGCAATCTTTCAGGGGGTGGGTGTTTTTAGGACACGTCTCCTGGAAGTAAGGTTCTTGGCATCTCAGAAGCATTAAGCACCAAGGGGCAAAGGCTATGAAGGCTGTGGAACATCGGCTGATAGCCTCCTCTCTGCATCCCATTTTCCTCAGCACACCTCTGAAACATGTTGTTTCCTTGTTAATGAATGTTGTGCTGTTTCATTGTGGGTGTACCCACCTTTTCACTGATTCCCATCTCTTAAGAAATGGGGTGTGTGAGGGAGGGGAAGGAGAAAGGGTGGGAGGGGACAGCAGCAGGGGCCGTGAAGGTGGGGGTGTAGGGCTGGTGTGGCCACAGTCAGGGTCCCTGGGCATCAGCTTGTCCTGCTTTGGGCTGGAATTTCATCCCCCATGCCAAGAGACCCTGATGATTTCATTCTGCTCAGGAGTTGTGAGGATGGCTACATACCTCACAGATAAACAACCAAAATGGGTATTAAGTTTTACTTACTTCACTGCTTTGAAAAGAAATATTTTTTTTCTGAAAATATAGGGCCCAGGTAAAGGGAAAACCACCACAATGTTAATGAGGGTTTTCTTGGCTCCTTGGGGTTAAGGTGATTTTTTAAAAAATTATTTATCTTTGTCTTTTTGAGACAGGGTCTTCCTATGCAGCCCAGGCTGGCTTCGAACTCACCTTGTAGCCCAGGTTGGTCTCAAACTCCCAATAATCCTCCTGCCTCAGCCTCCTGAGTATAGCACCATGCCTGGCTAAAGTAATTTTTAGATTCTTCTTGAAACTTCTATATTTATTTGAGTTTCTCTAATGATCTCATATTACTTTTCTCTATGTTAGAAGAACATAGTAATATCATAAATGTCATGGGCAAAATTGTTTTGGTGTCACAGCTCTGAGGAAGAGACAGGCAGGGTGAGAGTAAAGCAGAGACCTTGTCATTTCAGAAATGCATGTTAGACGGCAAAGCTTCAGGGGCCTGGGACGTGGCTCAGCAATAGAGCGCTCACCTACTACATGCAGGGACCTAGGTTTGATCCTTAACACTGCCAGAAAAAAAATGAAGCAGAAAAAGAGGAGGAGGAAAGGGGGAAAGGGGGAAGGGAAGGGGCAGAGGTGGTGGGGGAGAGCCCTAAAGCAGAGTGAGAAAAACAAGGTGCAAGCCAGCAAGGCTTCTCCCACCTTTTTATAAAGGCATAGTTGAAAATTTTCTGAGCACATGCAAAGTCTTTATTTTAATGGTGGGAATGAAGATATTTACCATATCCACCTCTGGGGACCAGTACCCAGTTGGCCAGGAGACTTGACTTCTATTCCAGGCCAAGAACCAAGAATCCTCAGGGGGAGTATCATTGTATTTATTTTCACTGTCAGTGGGGTTCGGTAAGCAGGAAGTGGCACCCTATTTTCCTTCTTTGTACTTCTTTCTGTGCCAACTCACATGCCCTCAGGGCTGGCCGGGGCTGCTCACCTGGTGATGATGGCCAGGTGGGGCGGGTTCATGCAGGCGCCCATGAAAAGCACCACGTTCTCGTGCCGCGTCTGCCGGTAGTTCATCACCTCCTTCTTGAACAGCTTCAGGTGGTCCTGGTTGTGGCCGTCCATCTCCAGCAGGCGAATGGCCACCTCGCCATGCCAGCGGCCACGGTGCACACGGCCCCAGCGGCCCTGCCCGATGAGCTCGCCCAGCTCCACCTGCTCGAAGGGGATGTCCCACTCCTGCAGGTACACGCTGGTCTGGCTGGCCTTGCGGGAGATGGGGCCCCGCCAGGGCCGGCGGGAGCTTGGCAGGTCGTCCACCTCATCCTCATCATCCTCAGGCTCTGACTTGCCAGCCTCTGGCTCCTCGGTCTGGACGGAGAACAAGAATTAATGGGAGAGTGGCAGGTCAAGGTCCTTTTCCCATTTAGGAACCTGAGCCAGACATTGGGGGAGTGGGCTGGATCAGAACGCTGGACTCCAGACACAGCTCTGCACTGCTCGCTGTGGACACTGGACCTCCGTGTCTTCATACACAAAATACAGTCACTGGCCCGGGTCCTCCACCCTGCTAAGGTCCACGATCTACCCAAGAGCAACAGCATCTAATTGTTTAGGGAGCAGCACCGACATCCCAGCCGGGAAGACCTCAGCTGCAGGCACCCTTCCCGGACTCCCTTGTTTAAGCACTTTCGGAATCTCCTCGGGCAGGAGTAACATTGTATAAGCAGGGATCCAGCCTCAGTTCATACTTTTGTTCAAAGGTCTAGACAGTGATTTTTGATTTTTTTTTTTTCTTTTGTACCCAGGATGGAACTCGGGACCTTGTGCTTGCCAGGCAGGTGCTTATGCCACTGGGCTATCTCCGTGGCCCTAGACAGTGATTCTTGACCTTGGCTTTGATCAGAATCACCTCGTGAGTTTTGATTACACAGAAACATCCGAGGCTAACAGTGTTCGTCCCTACTGTGTGCCTGTGCCACACTGTGCAGCAGGCACCTAGAAGACTCTTGCCAGACCCAGGCCTCCCGCCCTCTGTAGATACCCCACATTCTGCGGAGAGCAGGAGATGCCAGCGGATGTCTGTGGCCTCGGCATGGTACCCTAACTCACCTCCACCTCGTGGGCCTCCACCACCTCAGCTTTTGGCTGGTCATCAAGCCTAAGAATAAAACAGGCTCTGTCAGGAGATCCTGGGCTAGGCAGGGGTTCCTGGGGCAGGTCTGAGGCCAAGGCTGCCAGGTCTGGACCTATGCTGTGAGCCATCTGGCTGTGGGCAGGCAGTGTGAATACAGCAGGGACAGGAGGAGGCTGGGGACCAGGCCCATCCCTGCTCGGGCCTCAGCCTTCTCTCTAGGCTGAATTGACAGTGGCTGAGGACAAGGGGTGGGTGCTACCACCCAGGCCCTTTCAAACTTGACACTTTGGTCCTGGAGTGGAGAGCATACACACAGGCCTCGGGATCCAGTGGGCTTGTGTCTGAGCACTCTGCCACTTCCTCTCTGTGACCTTCTCATCTAAATCAGCCTCTCTGGGCTGGCTGTACATTAGGGACAGAGCGAGGATTGCATAAGGAAGCCCAAGTCAAGGGCTCAGGCCAGCCTACCTTGGAGGAAGGGCTCCCTCAGTGGGATCTACGTTTAGTGGGTCTAACTCAAATGCTGTTGCTCACCCTCCTGGGCCACCAGCCTGCTCCAGTTTGGCACACAACCCCACCCACTGCTAACTGCACTGGAGCAAAGAAACCCTTTTGTGGGGTGTTATCTGGCATGGGCAGCAATCAGCTGCCGCCAGACTCCATCCACGGCTGGGCCAGGCCCTGGCAACGCCCACAGCAGGAGGGTCAGAGATTTAAGGGTAGGGCTGGGAGGCAGCTAGGGATCTGAGTTGGATCTCAATAGGTCCTCAGGCAGAGAAGGGACATTGGGCACAGGGACTCCTACCGGGTACTGTCGGTGGCATCAGGGGGCGGCACTGCCTGGGGATAGGTGGAAATGTCTGCAGGAAAAAAGCACAAACACAAAGCATGAGGCCATTTTCCCAAACCCAAGACCCCACACCTGCCCAAAAGGACAAAGTCACTCCTTCTAAGCAGCTGCCCCCTCTTTCCCCAGGCCACTCCCACAGGGAACAGCTCCAAAGCTGAACCCCCCAAGAGCTCAGCCCCCTCGGGTCTCCTTTCATCCACACTGCTCTGACCAAGGAAGGGGCTCTTGTGGGTAAGGCCAGATCTCCTACTAACACCACTTCCAGGTAGCCAGAAGGTCAAAAGTCAGCTGGGATACACTGGAGGGGAGAGGAGCCACGGCCACCCTGCAGAGGGTCTTCCTGGTGGGAGGCAGGGCTGGCTGTCACAGCTCTTGAATGTAGAACACTTGACAACAGAAACCGAAGGTTCCTTAGGACACCTAGTATTGCTGCTGGGAGTTTCCAGAGCAACCCTTCCCACTTGCTTCCAGGATTGGGTTGTTCCAAGCTGTGCAGCTGAGCCTGACCCCTGGGCAGGGAGTCTTAGCACTTAAGATCCCTGCCTGCCTAGCAGCACCTAGGATAGTACTACAAGGCCTGGCAGTCCTTGGGGTGGGCTGCACTCTTCACTCCTTAAAGAAAAGAGAGCTAGGAATTGACAGCAACTTGAGCAATAGCAACCCCTCTCCTGCCTTTGACAAAGGTCCTCCCACTCAGCCATTAAACTTCTTTCCCTTGCCCTTTCTCCAAAGCTGGCTCTGAAGGTCATCAGAACCAGAAGTTAGTATGTCCAAACCTTCACAGACTTGGACAATCTGCTAGAATCTTATCATGGCAATGCACTCATGTGCCTCCCAACCTGTGCAGTTTTGGGGGACCTTGGACCTCAAAGTCTCTGCTGAGACCTCCCCCGACACTACCATGGGAGGCCTGGCATTTCCACCCACCCAGAATTTTCAAAATGTTTCCACAGAAGACAAACACGCCTGGAGGCCAGGGAATTGGAGATGGGCGAGAACAGCACTCCAGGTGGGAGGGCAAAGCCTCTAGAAACCCCATACTTTGCCTAAAAATGAAAAGCATACTGTGAGCCCGCTCTAACATGAGTCTATGTCCACTTTAAGACATCATCCCTTCCGCTCCCACCAAACAACTTTAGGGCAAAATGGACCTTCCAAAGGAGGACCATGTTTTTCTGGTCTGGGGGAGGAGCACGCCTATATGGGTTCCAGAGCTGGTACATAAGGAGGTTCTGGGGGAGCAACAGTGACAGCCCAGTTGTCCACAGGGGGCTTATGGTGCATAGGCCTGAACACGGCTGCGTGGGTAAAGACGAGGGCTCCAGTTCAGTTCCCCAACAGAGCAGAGATGGCAAAGAGAAACACCTGGAATAACCAAAACGCTAACTTTAAGACTGTCTGGTCTAACTCAGAGTGGAAAGAAACAATTAAGTACAGTTGTGGTCTAAAAAATCATGCTTGTCGTCTCTAGCTAAAGGAAAAACTAAATGATCTAATAAACTCCCTCAAGCAGCAGGAATATGGCCAAATACAAAGGTGGACACACAGGCTGGTCAAATGGAAACAATGTGGAAGGAAATCAGTGGATTGTCTTGCAGAATTGAGTTTTTTTTTCTCATGAAACTTTTGGGTGATGGCCAGCAGGTGGCACTGTGCAACAAAGCTTGGAAAAGGGAAGCCCACAGACTTTCAGTACCCTCCTACGAGAGGAGGAGGATATGGTAGGTGAAAAGAGATGCTCAAGAGACATCAGCAAAAAGCCCTCTCCAGAGCTCTTTCTGCAAACCTGGGCTCTAGCCCTGGTTGCTTCTGCCACCACTTGGCAATGGGGCCCTGATCAAACTGCCAGTGGTCTCTGCAACAGGCAGTGCAGGATGGATTCTGGGGTCCCTCCCAGCCAGGCAAGGCCCCACAGGGGCCCACCTCCAGGACATGCCCTGCCCCCTTGTCCAGCCACCACAGACTGAGGCACTGAGGCACTGAGGAAGAGTCCCTCGGGTGGGCTGGGCGGAGGGGTCACAGCAAGGGGCAGTTAGTGGGCCATGCAGAGGACTCACCTGGGAAGATAAACTGCTGTCTATGATGAATGAAGTAGGCAGCTTTAAACAGAAGAGGAGCTGAGTCACACACAGTGGCAAATGCAGTGAGGGAGATGCGTGGGGGGGAGGCAGGACCTGGTTACTGGGCTGGGACAGCCCCACACTATGTGCCTGGCCCCTGGTGGGCCCAGCAGGGACAGGCTGAGCCATGCAGGAAGGAGGGAGAGAGCTGGAGCACATGGGCGCAGGCAGGAGCCCCGAGAGCAAAGGGGGCGTTGATGGAGGACCAAAGGGTGCTGGGATCTCTCAGTGGCCACCTGGCTGCCAAGCCCTGGCCAGCACCCTGCTGTGGAAAATGCAGAGGGGCCCTGAGAACAAAACACAATGAGGGCGGAAAACAGTGGCTCTGAAAAGGTCAGTTTGTGTTATGTGCAGAAGAACGGCCCCCTCCTCTTTAGTCCATCTTGATTGACCCTGGAGCACCACAGCCTGCCCACCCCCTATTGACATGGTCCTGAATACGTGACATCTCTCATAAAGGATGCGCTGGGCTTCCAGGACCTGATATAGAATGATTTATTTGTTTTTGGTGGGGTTCTGTTTTTATTTTGAGACAGGGTCTCACTATGTAGGTTAGACCGGCCTTGAACTCACTGTACAGCCCAGGCTGTCTTCAAACTCATGGCGATCCTACTGGCCTCCCAAATGAGTGCCAGGATTACAGGCATGCACCACCACGCCTGGCTTAGAATGACTGATCTTGTCTAGTGTTTTTGAGACAAGTCTTGCTGCGTTGCCCTGGCCGGCCTTGCACTCCTGGGCTCCAGGGATCCCCGCACCACAGCCTTCTGAGCAGCTGAGACCACAGGTGTGTGCCACTGCTACTTGACAGGACCACGATATCCTAACCTCAGCTTCACCGCATGCTGGGCTCTGGGCTCTGGGACCTGCGGACACTGGCTAGCTCCTCCAGCTGTCACACTGCAGAACGGGAATTCCACCATTCTCAGTGTACGGTGAAGGTCACAAGCAGGGCTCCCGAACAGCACAGAGCAGCCCAGCAGCAGGAGGAAGCCTCCTCAACGCTTGCCCAGCCCAACCTGCGAGCCCCGGGCCCAAGGTCTGAAGAGATCGCAGAAAGCAAGATCTGACAGGGGACAATGAGGGCCCAGTTCCCTCATGAGATATCAGTGAAAGTGGACACGGTGTGGCTGATGTCACGAAAAAAAGCTTTCTGTAGCTGCTATTTTTCAAACAGGCCCTTTCTTTTAGAAAATTCCACACTAAGTGGTTTAGCAAAAGGGACAATAAGGACAGAGCAGAAGGGGGAGGAGGGTAATCAAAAGGGTATTACCCAATGCAGGGAAGGGCGGGGCACAGTCAGCACAGGGGCTCTCCAGCCACATGCATATTAAAGCAAAGGAACAGGCAAAAGAGAAATAAGGCCTACTAAATTTAATCTCTCTCCACTCCCAAAAGAAATTGTCTGAACCGGACTAGGGCCCTGAGAGGTAGCTTGTCCTGCTGCTGGCTATGTGTGGTCCTACACAGGCAGCCTGGCACAGGAGAGACCTCTGTACCTCAAGGCCTGGAGCTGCAGCAGCCAGTGACAGGCCTGACCTGTACGCCATAGATGCGAGAGGACACAGGGCCTGGGTCCCTGCCATCCCTCCTTCCTGTGGGACAGCAAACTAGAGCACACGGAGGGCTGAGACTATGGGCAAGGAGTGGCCAGGGAGGCCAAGGCAGCGCTCAGCCTCAACATGAGTGGGTGGGTCCTGCTCTGCTCCTCAGAAGGTGATACCCCACCAGCCAGGTGGCAGAGTGCAGGAGAGGCCGATGCTTGGCCTCCTGTGGATCCCGGGGGCTGAGGCCGTGTGTGGCAGCAGAGGTCAAGGGTCTGGCCCAGGTCTGCCCCACTGAGTCCCCACTAGGCCTCAGAGTCCTCTACACAATGGTGCCCCCCCAACTGTAATTTCCCATAGTCCCTTGTTCCACAGAAAGGGGGAGATAGAGGTCTCTTTGAGAGGTTGTCCCAGGCACAAAGCGGGCAGGGAGCAATGCTCTCTCCTCGGCCTGGTGCCCTGTGCTGCCTGCCACATCAGCTGGAGTTCAGCAGCCAGCCCCAAGAGTGACAACGCTGAGCAGAAGTCACCCACCGCACAGACTGGGTGGCAGATGGACCTGTGCTTCATCCTGCTTGTGGCACTTACAAGCTGCGTAACTCAGGGCAGCCACTCCCTTTCCTTGAACCGCAGTGTCGCTGTCCTTATAGTGTGTACACTGGCGGTGGCAGCAACCTCAGAGCTATGGTGGGAGCTTGCGACCCTGAACCTATGGGGTCTGCTGAGAAGGATCTGGCCTATCGAGGTGGTACCTGGGAAGTTGAACCTGCTGTCCCGCTGGCTAGGTGAGGGGTTGGGGGGTGTGGTGGCACTGGACGGGTTGGACGATGTTGGGAAGGGCGCTGGCGAAGAAGGTGTGGAGGACGTGGTGGAGGACGGGTTGCTGCTGGAGTCCAGGTGGTTCATGGCCGGAGGATGCTCCTGCAAGACCAGAGACGGAAAGTGGGCAGGGCTGAACTGCACCGCCCGCTGCCTCCCCTTGGAAGAGGAGCTGAGCCCACAGGCCCTTAGGGTCCTGTTCCCTGCTCTGGCATCTCCCAGGCCTAGTATTTGAGGAAAGAGACAGGTAAAGGTTCTCTTCATCATTTTGCTTCTTTTCACATAAACGCATCTCCTGAACCCCAGTTAGGACCAGGCTCCGCCTTCTTCTCCCTTTGCCCCCAGCAGTTCTTCCACAGCGCATTCCAACCATAGCCTGTCAACTGTAGACACCTGCAGGGAGCTCGCTGACAATGACTGCCCCTCCACTGCCTGCATGGACATGAGCCAGGCACACGGTAGTTGTTTTGGTTTCATTTTTTTTTTTTTAAATAACTCAATTAAGACTCATAAATGTTTACAAAATGTCTACTTGCATGCTAGGCATTCTGCTAGAAGCTGATATAGGGAAGCCAAGCATTTACATGGTCCTTGTCTTAGCAGATGTTGTCCTCAAAGTACTGAGGACTCTCAGAGCTTGTATTAAACTGCAAAACCCTAAAAGTAGCAGCAGACTGGGCTGGTGCTATCTGCCATGCTGGAGGGTCACAGATTCCAGAGCCAGAAGGAAGCCTCCAGAAGATGACCGAGGAGCTTGTTAGTCAGGACAGGCCCGGTTCATGCCCACTACTGCAACTTAAATGTCAGTGCCATTTCCTGTACACTCCGAAGCAAACAGTCACCAAAGTGGCTAATGGATGCTTCTTCCACTCTTGCGGACATGGACACCAGGACCCACAGTGGCTGGGGTCTAACACGGCCAAATGGCTAACAGAGAGAGGACTCTCGGGGCCTTCTGTGTTGGACAGGGCCTGCACCTGACCAGTGTTTCCCAGGCCCTGTGGGTGGGAGAGGAATTCCTCGAGCAAAGGAATTAAATGCCAAGTTCAAAGGTTTCTCTGCCACAGGTCTGGGAGGGTTTGGGAGGTGCGCGATGCATTGTGGGACCTCATAAAACTGGGGCACTGGGCCCCACTCACCAGACACGGCTGACCCTGCATGGCGCCAGCTATAGAAGGGAGGTGGGATGCACTGAGCAGCCCTCTCCCCATTCAAGCTCCAAGGCTCCAGACCCCATCCAGTCCCTCGACAGGGCCAGGCCTGTGCCAAGGCAGTGGAGCCCGGCCACGGGGGGAAGCGGACTACAGCTCGTCCTCTCAGCACCTGTGTGGACCCAGCCTTCCTGAGCCATATCATAGCACTCATAGTAGAGGGGCAGCAGCCGCTGCATCACTGGGTCGCTCCTTCATTCAGCCCTCAATATAATATAGCACTTCCGCTGCCAATGTGCACCAGGAGACAAGGCAGGCAGCAGAGACACGAGGTCAGCAGGACAGCATCACCAGACCTTCTCAGGGGGTCTGTGCCACAGCCAGTGGAGGACACGGGTGGACAGGTGGCTGCAGAAGCAGTCAGGAGGTGTGGGATAGATCCACCACCCTCAGCACACTGGGCCAGCACCTGTTCGCTCATGTTGCAACGGTGACCTTAAACAGGACACCAGAATCATGATTCCAGGCCACTGCCCTGATGATGTGGGAAAGACCACCAGCACCACCATGCCTCAGTGCCAAGGAGGTACATGCAGGAGGCTGGAGGAGGCAGGCCTAGGGTGGGCCCAGTGGAACCCACAGGAGGGCTGAGCTGCTATCTGAGAGGGTGAGGACAGAGGAGCAAGTGCCAGGGTGTGAAGGCCACCAGAGGTGCAGGTGCACAGGACTACATGAGCACGAGGCGCATGGAGTTGGAGAGGAGGGCAGGGCCAGTCACAATGGAGCTGGCAATGGGAGGTGCTGAGAAATCTCAAGCACCTATATGACAGGCTGGGAAGTCACAGGGAACAGAAAGGCACCTGGCCCTATGAGAAAGCTCTGAACGTTCCTTCGTGCTCCTCACACCGCTGTATTATCCCCATTTGGTGAACTACAAAGCTGAAGCTTAGGAAGGTTACACAGTTCACTGAAGGCCACAGAAGCAAGAAAGAGAACAGCAGACTCAAACCCACGGCTGTGCATCTGACAGGACCAGAACATCTACATCCCCAAAAGTCGGGTGACAGGATTAGGAGGTGGGCCTTGTCCTGAGACTGGTCCCTTGTGAATGGGGTCAGTGACTATACAAAAGAGGACAGTGAGGGGGGCCCACTGGACTCCTCCATCTGGTGAAGACAAGAAGGCCCTCTCTGTGAGGAACCATGAGGTCCTGGGACTCAGTTTCCAGTCTGTAAAATAAACATGCTATCAGCACATGCCCTTTGCAATTACTGCGAGGGTCCGACGAGACACAATGGGAAACACTGGCATAGCCTAAGGGCTCAGGAAGGCTCCTCAGTGGAGGGGGAAGGGCACAGGAACCGGGGCTACAGAACCACAACTTGGACAGAAATGTGAAGCCAACTAACTGGCTAAGAAAACCCAGACGGCAGCCCCCAGCCACAGCACCGACTTTGGTGTCCTTGTCCTCCTCCCCGACTGGCTGGCTGAGGGGCGCTGTGTGAAAACCTTTGGGTGGCTGACCATATACCTTCTTTGTCAGTGCCTTGGGGAGGGTTCCAAAATGGGGCTCAGCAGCTCTGTCCACTGGGTTGTTGATGTCCGAGGGGACAGATTCTGTCCTCCGAAGCCGGGTTACTGGATGAGAAAGGGGACCGATTAGCAAGGAACAGACCACACTGCGCAAGATTCAGCCGCATTCCCGGAGGCAGAGGAGAGGCAGGCACTTACGTGGAAGGAAGGAGATTCTACAGGCAGGGGCTTCCTTGGTACATTTGTTGTGGCATTTCAACCTGGAAACAAAGAGAGAAGTCAGTGGTTGGAGGCCTGCGAGCACCACAGGGAGCTCTGTGCAGCTCTCTGCCTAGGCCTAGGTCCCCACCACGCTCTCCACAAACATGCGCCCCACGGCAGCACAGTGGGCCACAGTCAGCAGAGCAGGTGGCCTCAGGGCACGGCAGGCTGCGCTGTGCCCACTTAAACTTATGAGAAGAGAGACCTACCATGGCTTTCAGAAAGCTCCAGACAGATCTAATAATATTAATAATAATTAGGAGAATGTTTGTGTTTTTGAAGGCTCCCAGGGATGCCATGGGCAGCCCAAGGCCAGGAGCAGCCGGGCTGGGCCATCCTCTGGACTCTACTGGCGTCACTGAAATGGGCTGACAGCTGCTGCAGTAGTAGGGCAGAGAGGAGCTCGGGAATCCTGCACTCATCACCCCAGGATGGGAGTAGAGGCCTCCAATTCATTCCTAAGCCAAATGGCCAGTAGCCACAGGAAACCAGACTGGAGAGAAAACTCTGGGACTTCCTCAGGGTCGGGGTCATCAGGAACAGGATCCAGCCAGCTCACACACCCTGGACCCACCCCCGAGGATTGGACCAGGGCCCGGAGTCCAAGTCAGGCACAGGAGCTCAGAGTCCTGGAGTAATCTCTATGGACTCATCTTCCCAGATGTATAAATTTAACAAAAAAAAAAAAAAAAAAAACAGAAGCCCAGGAAGGGCGAGCACAGTATCCCAAGTCACACAGCAACACAGGGCCAATATGGGCCAGGAACTAAAACTGGAGGACCACCCTCCATGAAGTAAGGGCATACAAACTGCAAATGACAGACAGACTGCTTTCTCCAGCCACCCCCACTGTCTCCTATCTTTATTCTTCTTTCCACTAGAATCCACAATACTCTGAGGACAAAAAGGGCTAGCTGGGTACAGAATCTATATGCTCAAAGTCTCATTTGGCCACTTTATAAGCCAACTGTTTTTACCATGTCTGTCCCCATTTCCCACCCCATCCTATCCTTTCTTTTCCAATCCCTGTGCTTAAAATGTGAGGGCTAAATTTCCCACAAGAGTCCTTGATTTCTTCTCTGACTCTGGATTCTTTCTCCCTTGGTCTACCTGGGAAATTTCTAGTCATCCTTCAAAGCCCACCTCAAATATCCCTTTCCTCCAGTAGTACCCCACTGCACGCCCTAGAGAGGCCTGATCAGATCACCCTGGCGTGCTGAGTGGGATTACGATTGGCTGGTTCCCAGGAACCCCTCTGACCTGAGGCCAAGAACAATAAAGCAGTAAGACTGTCCCAAAGCTAAAGTCTTTGCTGCCTCCCCTCCTCGCCCAGCACCTGCAGTGCTTGCACTTCACTCCGAACATCATGCTCTTCTGGCACACGTGGCAGACCTGCGACAGCCAGGACTTGGTGGAGAACCTGCGGGGGATGACAGGCACGTGGGACCAGGGCCTGGGCACAACAGGGTTTCCAAGGGCACACGGAAACCTGACCCCAGCCCAGCATCCTGACAGCTTTCTCCAGGGACTGTGGTTTCTCCCCGGGGACGTAGATCGCTCGGCCAGAGTCACCACTGCCAGCATCCTGCAGCTGGGGTGGTCACACACATGGATGAGCCGTCACAGTGCCCAGTGTGCCTGCCCTCTGACCCAGCAATGCTCGGCCTAGGAACCTACCCAACAGACACTGCCCAGAGGCTCAATGTAAGGACCAGATGCTCTGCGGAAATCACCCAATTTAAAGCAGTCTAAGAGTGTGCATATTAAGTTCAATTTGTGTAACTGTAAAAAGAAAGCAAAAAACATACTACCTATGTATCTGCTTATAAAAAAAGTATTTCTCACAAGATATAGTAGCCACTTCGGAGGCCAAACGGGGAACTCAGGACCCAGGGGAAGGGAGAGGGAGCTTTTGTCTCTCTTCAACCTCTTGAATTTTGCATGTAGGCATGTATTTTCAGTCCAAAGTCTGAACAATTAAAAAACCAGACAGACTGCAAGGAGGATGGGGTTGAGTGCGTGGTGTCCTCCAGCAAAGGACCATCCAGGGCCTAAGAGCAGACGGTTCATTTTTAGAGAACAGAACTTTTAAAAACATAGTACATCATATTAAGGACAGAAGGGATGTACACAGTACTCGGGGAGGACTTTAAAACCCATCCACAAGCACTCCGCCCCTCAATCACGACCACCTCAGGAGTCAGGCAGGTCTAGGGCTCTCGTGCAGTGTGCAGGCCAGGAAAGTGCAGAGTCGGCAGGCCGTGGGCCTCAGCCAGCTGTGCATGGTGCCCTGACCCTTCTCCCAAGGTTCTGCTTTGCAGGATTCCAGACCAGACAGGGTTCCAATCTAAGGTCCCTGCCCACCCACCCCAGGCTCACTCTGTCTCACAGGTACTGTATCCCTGGGCCATCACTCAACCCTTGGGGGTCAGGGCTCCCTCTGGCAGAACCCTTGGCACGAGAAGTGCTCACATTCCCCCAGGAGACGGCAGGCCATGGCAGCTTGCACTGAGCTCCCCACTGGGCTTTCAACAGCTTCTAACGGGGTAGTGAGAGCACTGGTGTCCCAGGGCCTTGTCCTGCCAGCCGTCCACGCAGATCCCTGTTGTCAGCACACTGGCCTCCCAAGCACTAGGCAGAGGCCTCTGGGTGGGGGGCCCCTGTTGGGGGGCCCTATAAGCCTCTCTCTATAGGTATAAGTGTTGGCTGGTGAGGAAGAGACCCCAAGAAGGGTGGTGGCTGGCAATAAGGCAAGGGTTCAAGGTGCAGAGCTCTGTCAGCCAGGGGAGTAGGCAGGCAGGCAGAGCCCCAGTAAACAGCTACCAGGAAAACTGCCTGGCTCAGCTGGGGACTCCCTACACCCTATACCCTTCCCCACCCAGACCTACCTGTGTGTCACTGAGAGCCCGATGTCCCTTCGTACCATCTGTGGGGATCCATGAGAGAGATCTGCGAGGAAAGACGCCAGGTTGGACAAGCTGAAGGAAGCTCTGCCTGGGACAGCTTGTGCCTGGCACCCTCCAGTTCAGAAGTTACAGGCCAGATAGGATGTGATGGGTACACAGCAGAAAATTAACTAAGCTCAACCACACTGGGGGGCAGGTCAGCTAGGTCAGGGAAGCGAAGTGGTCACCCGCACGCCAGGCTTGGTCTCTAGCCACTGTCACTGCCAGGCCTCTTCAAATGCTGTCTGCTGTCCCTGCAAATTTCTCCCTGGGTGGAGGCAGCCTCAAAGAAAAACCTGATGCAAGGGCTGGAGATATAGCTCAGTGGTATAGCGCCTGCCTGGCAAGCATGAGGTCATGAGTTTGATTCCCAGGACCAAAAAAAAAAAAAAAAAAAGCCTGGTGAGATAGCACATGGCTGCAATTCTAGAACTTAGGAGGCTGAAGCAGGAGGATCACAAGTGAATTCAAGACCAATTTGGAACACATACCAAGACCCTGCCTCAAAAACACCAAAAAAGAAAAGCCCCCAAGCAATGCAAAGGCAAGAAAAGTTCCCCCACATTTGGTCTCATCCTTTCTCAGAGATATATTAGTCTTGCACAGCTTGACTCTGCTACTACTTATTGAGTGTCAGAAGCTTGAGCTCGAGCATAGCGCACGAGGCTAGTTAGCTACGTAGCTCAACCCCTGCCCTCCCAGGCCAGAGCCCTAGGAGACCCTTCTCTTACAGCCACCCTTGCTGGCTCTTGGCAGGAAGAGTGAAGACAAGGTAAGTCCCCACATGTCCAGGCCCACAGGGCGCTGTAGTAAGAACTCTGGGGCGTCCCAGGTACCCGCTTTCTTTGCCGAGTAAAGGGATATAGCCTTTAACTTGCCCTCAGCTGCCTCACTGGTAGGGCTCCCCCAAGATCAGGCAGCCCTGGTGCTTAAGGCAGAAGAGGACTGGGTAGTGGGTGAGCACTTGACATGGTCTCTACCCACCCACAGCCCCCATAACCAACTCAAGCCCCTGCCCCACCCTTTCTCCTCCCAAGCCCACAGATGGGCTTTAGGGGGGTCCAGCATCCCTCTGGACTGGTCGGCAGGACGTCAAGGGTTTTTCCCTGGAAATGGATCTAGACTTGCATTCAATTATTAAAGGGACCTGGGGGCAGAAAAGTTGAGGAACACAATGCTTGAGTGATCCGTGGTCATCTTGGGTCCTCTGAATGTGCCTCCCAAGGGTGAGACTCCTTCTCAAGTGCTGGCCCACATAGCTGGTGCTCATTACCTGCTGGTTCACCTACTATTATGATTTGCATGTAGCTATCCCCCCAAAGACTTATGCTATCATAGGGCAGCTTCTAGAGTTTGTGATAAATTCATGATCCAATGCTGGGATTATGGGTGTGAGTGCTATTCCTACCCTGGGGTGGGTAACCTGCATACAATGTGCAGAAGGAAGAAAAGCTGGCTAAAAGCCACCACTGCTGCCCCTCCCTTTGCTCTTTGCTGTTTTCCACCACCAGGAACTGCTGCCCTCTGCCACATGCTACTCTGCTTTGGAGCCAACTGAATATGGACTGAAACCTCCACTAACTGTGAGCTAAATAAACCTTTCCTTCCTTAAGTTTGGGTGTCGGGCAATTTGTCCCAGCAATGAGAGAAAAGAAACCAAGACACCAGTGCCACAGGAGAAGGCTGAAAGAACTGACCCCCAGTCCCTATACCATGGGGACTGTGATTGGGACAAAAGTCTCTTTGCCACCCTCTTGATAACTGGGGTCCCCACCATTCCATGACCTGTAGATCCTGGGCACATCTGCCATTGGAGCTGATACCTCTCACTTCCTCCTAGGGCCATTCCATCCTGGTCAACAGTCAAGGCCACCCAAATACACAGCTCTAAGGAGGGCCGGCGTCCAAAAGCAATATGGGAATGTGAGATGTCAACCACCCAGCTCAGAAGGCAACCGACTTGGACCATCAGCCTCAGGCGCAGGGTGGCAAGGTGAGATGGCCTGTGTGGCCAGAGTGCTGGCTATCTGCCCTGGATAGGAACACTGGTCCTCAAGGTCTGACATCCATGCTGCAGTGCCGGAGCTGTGTTACCAAGGTGAAGGAGGACAGGGATCAGGGCTGTGCTAGGGAGGAAGGGGCTGACTCTGCTAAAGGGCCTGACATTTCTGTGTATCCCTTGGGGAGAGGGAAGCACAAGTATTCTCCTTCAGCAGGTCACTGCCTGCTAAACCCCTCTCCCTCCCAAGACCGCACCCACAGTGACATCAGTCTCCTTAGCCAGCTACAGATGGTAGGAAACATATGCTGCTATTTTACTTAGGCAAAGAGAAACCCTGGCACTCCTACATTTCCACTCAATTAAAAGCAGACTCCAGGGGCTTGGTTGTATCTCACAAGGAAGGCCCAACAATACAGTTTGTGCAAGATCTAGACCCCAACCAGGCATGGAAGTCCATACCTATAATGCCAGCTCTTCTGGAGGCTGAGGCAGGACATTCACAAATTTAAGGCTAGCCTGGGCAACTCAGGGAGACTCTGTCTTAAAATAAAAAGGCTTGTGAATGTAGCTCAGTTGGTAGAGTGCTTGATTATCATGGGGGAGGCCTTGAGTTTCTTCACTCTTCAGTACTGCCCCCTCCACCCTGTTCCCAATGTGGAGGTCATGAGGTGGAAAACTGGGGCCCAGGGCTACCTGAGCTTCCTCCTCCTCTCCTGTAGGGCATCCATATACTGCAATTCAGAGCTGTCTCTAGGAATGTCTAGCAATGTCCCTTTGCTAGTGAGAAGGTCCAGAGGACTCTGAGGGCAACTCAAATCCCTAAACTGGCCATAGGGTACCTCCCTCCCAGCAGCACTGCTTTACCTGACAGCCCAGAGGTCACTGTAGGGACAGCAAGGTGGAGACAGGGCTCACCACAGCGCTACCACGGACCATGACACTCTCCACATCTCTACTTCCCAGACCACAGCCGCTGCTGGGCTGGGGCCAGCTGTGTTTTAAGTCCACCCATGTCAGAGCTACTTCCTGGAGTGGTCATCAGTGCCTCTGCTTCTGGGCTATGGAAAGGCCAATCAGGCCAAGAGAGGAACAAAGAATCCACCCCTGATGGGGACAGCAACACAAACAGGATTCCCAGTGGCAGAGGGGATGAAAATGAATCACTCTTACCAAACCTGAAAGAGACAAAAAGAAAAGGGAAGGATTATGTCACCATACTGGTTCAGCAAGTTAGCAGAACATTACCCCTTAGGAAAGAGCAGGCAAGGAACTGGTGCAAGGGACAGAGGTATGGTTCGGAGCTAGGCTGGCTGAGGGACTGTAGGAAGGCCTGTGATCTCTATGGGGACATTTCCTCCACAGGAAGGGCCAGACGGTCCCTTCCAGGGGACGTGGAAACAACAGCCTGGGCTGTGCACTCTAGGACATTAGCCAATTTAAATCTTGCCAGCCACCCAGCATGGCTGACTTCATCCTATTTCACAACTGGGGAAACCAAGGCTCTCGGAGTGCAGGCAGAAAGGACCGGTCCGCTGGAGAGGTGGTGGTTGAGCAAGAGCCCTGAGAAGACAGTTCCACAGAGTACCCCAAGAAGGGCCAGGCAGGGAAATGCTCCTGCAGCACTGGCGTTGCTCCCGGGACACAGGAGCCAGAGGAAGACGGGCACTCTGCCACTCTCAAGGGTTACCATGGCAGCCTGTGCATCCATGCCAGTGCTAGTTTTAGTGGCACAGATTTTGGGGGTTGAGGGGTGACTCTCAGGGTCTGAGGCTGGTGAACGTCCTGGCAGCAGCTCTGCTCTGCACCCAGGGCATGAGAACGAGAGCTGAGCTTCATGCTCTTCTCGGATGGGGGACAAGGCGCCAGCCACAGTCCTCTGCAAGGCAGCATGTTCACCCGGTAGTATTGCACCCCGCAGCCAAGTGTAGGTGGGCCCAGGCCCCAGTGGAGCAGCCTGACCATAAGGCAGCCAGGGAACACCAGGTTCCTGCGCTTCAGGCGGTGCCCTCAAAGCCCTCAGAGCTCCCCAGGGAACTCCACAGCAGAGGGGAGGGGTTTTACCCCTCTCTCTAGCAAACATGACCCTAAGCCTAAGAGAGATCAGGGCCCAGGCACCCTCTCCAGGTCAGGGAGAGAAGCCAAGATGTACCCCAGCCTTTAAGGTGCAAGACAGTAAGAGGCTCCCTGAGAAAACAGCCTTCTGTCCTTCCATCCTGCCCATACAACCAGATCGGTAGGGACAATCTTTATAACAGCAATAAAGACAATGATCTAAGTATCCACCAAAAGGACAAGTTAGATAAACTATGTAATGGAACAAGTTTTTAAAAACAAAGGTGCTTGAATTTTTAAAAACTTATACAAAATAGAAATCCTAGTGGGTTCGTGAAAGGACAGCCAGGTGGCAAGAAAAACGGTGAGAGGCACACATCCTACCAGGCACCCCTAAGGACAAATATGAGCCACAGGGCTAATGCATTTTTGACCATGTGGCTGTCACCTACTCAAAACGTATAGATAAAAATACATTTATATTTAAAAAATGAGTAAGATACTGCAAGACATACTGACTGATGTTCTCAGAGTTATCAAGGTACAGTGAAAATCAAGTCATGGGACTGAGTCCAAGGTATGTGACAGCCATTAGCATTTTGAGCCTAATGTTCCAGTTTCCCCTTCTGGCCATATTGGACAACAGCATCATTTGTTCCCTTGATCGGGCAAAACCATGAGCAATGAGGAGAGCTTCTAAAAAGGGTATAGTTATTCAATATCCCGGGAGGATTGGTTCCAGGACTCCCTCCACCATGGACACTAAATTCTGCAGACACTCAAGCTCCCTATTAAAAATGGCCTAACATTTGCATATAACCCACATATATACTCCCATATACTTTGTTCTTGTTGTTTTGTTTTCAGGGTTTTTGTTTTGTTGTTTTTTTTTTTAAACTGGGAATCAAACTCACAATCTTGCACTTACCTGGCAAGCATTATGCCACTGAGCTACATAGCCCCTGTCCTCTCCTGTACACTCATCTCCAGATTACTTATAAGACCCAACACCATGTAAATGCATAGACAATAATGACAAGAAAAACACTGCACATGCTCAGGACAGGCACAACCACGGCAGGTCTAACTTCTAACTTCGCAGTATGCATCAGCAACAAGGTAACTTTCTTTTCCCAAATATCCGCAATGCCTCCCCGGGTAAATTCCTTGGCTCCACAACCCATGGACACTCAGAGGGCCCACTGCACTGAACACCGGTGCTGGACACCCAGGATTTACCGTTGTCTCTGCACAGCGGCCAAGGATGTCCACGTCTTGGCTGCTCTAACCTGCCTGTGACCTGAGAGGAGGCTGACCCACAAGGGACAGGCAGCACAAATGCAGAAAAAAATCTTTGTATCATGGAGACTTAGAGACTACCTGTTACTTCGACCTACCCTGACATAAATGGCATCATGTTATTTGTGCATATATATCTATTGGGCTTCAGCCCAAACCGCTAACGTCAAAGGGGGGCTAGACTGAAAGATGGGGGCACCTTTTGCTTTTCATTTCACACATATCTACACTGGCAGGCTCAGTCTTCCCACCTTTGTGCGGGAGAAGCCACAGGCCAGACCCACCTCATGGAGGACACCTCGTCAATGCGGTTTCCCAGCTGCGACTCATGTGACTTGCTCCGGGTGAGTGCGGGGAAGCTCGGCAGCAGCTGGAAGACCTTGCGGCTGGGTGGCGGGGGCGTCCGGGGCGGCTTCAGCTTGGCATGGCGGCGCAACTGGGGCGTGGTGGGAGGGGTGATGAGACTGTGTGGACCACGGGGCGTCAGCCGGCCACTGGCATGCAGCAGGCTACAGGTGTCCAAGACCCCCACACTGAGGCCAGGAGCCGGGGAGTCACAGGCACCCTGGGCACCACTGCCCCCTCTGCCCAGCAGGGAGCTCCCAGGGGGCCAGGGCACGGTGGCCGGTGACAGAGAGTCCACGCATGGCCCTGAGCTGCTTTCCCGACGAGCCTCGCAAGAGCCCCAGCCAGAGTCCTCCTTGTGCTCCCCTCCTGTGGGCGAAGGACACATGTCACAGAAGGCTGAGACCAGCAGAGATCTGCAGCAGTGAGGGAGGTCCAGGTGAGCCCTGGGTCTGAGGATGGCCTTCCTTAGCAGAGGCTCCGCCCCCCAACCTTCACACCTCGTGCACAGGGCCCTGCTGATTGATGCCAGCAGCCCAGGTATGACTGTCCCCATTGCATGGAGGAAGACCAAGGCCCAGAGCAGGACTGGGTCATGCAGGGCTCTCACTGTCGTGTCTGGGAGCAGCAAGCTGGGAAACCATCCCAACACAGCGGTGGCCTTAGTCAGAAAGCAAACAGTAACTGAGCCATCAGACTTAGGAAAAAGAAGGTGGGATGGGTAGAGAAAGGGAAACTTCAGTTCAAGAAAATTCAAGGGCTGGCATGTAGCTCGGTGGGAGAGCTGTCACCTAACGTGCTGAGGTGTGGGTACGTACCCAGCACCACAACAAAGAAAAGAGAATTAACTCAGATGTCAGCAAAGCAGGCTGCCAACACTCACACAGCAATCCCTTCCTTTTTATTTATTTTTTTTGGGGGGGCAGTACTGGGGAATTGAACTCATGACCTTGAACTTGCCAGGCAAGCACTTATTCTACTGAGCTATCTCCCCAGCTCCAGCAATCCCTTCCGAGCGGAGCCTGCAAGTGACTCCTTGCTGCCCCCATCATCACCCTCTCTGGCCACAAAGATCTTAAGGCTCTGTGGGCTCGAGCTCAATGGCAGAGTCGGTCCTCTCATTCAACCCTCTGCTAGAGGATGGGCATAAAGGTATAAAAAAAAAAAAAACCCCCCCCCCAGCTTAGCAAGACCAATGAGTGGGAGTGACAGACATGCAACAAAGTGTGCTGTGACAACGTGGGGACTCTGGAGAGGAAGGTGGATCCACACTCAGCCTGGGGTGAGGCCAGACAGTGGGCAGCAGGGAAGGGAAGTGTACCAGGTGGGGGCAACAGCACATGCGAAGCATGAGAACACAGCACCTTCGGATAATGACAGAGTCCCTCGGGCCTCAAGAGACTGGAACAAGTGTGGGACAGGCAAGCTATGAGGATGGAGGGCTCAGTCCACCTGCAGCCACCTCAGGAAAGGCCTCAGGTGTCTTGCTACAGATCACGCAGGTTTAGCCAGTAGAGGTGGGAAAGACTCTGAGGGGTGGAGGGCGGGGGCAAGAGCCAAGGCCACCAGGGGGAAGGGCAGGGGGCTCTCTCCTCTCAGGACCCAGGGAGAGTGACAGCAGAAGGAGACTTTGCACCTCAGCGCTGGAGCCCTTTACTACAAGTTGCACCTGGGCCATCTCCCTCAGCCTCACCACAGTGCTTCCTTCTCCCCTGTGGCTGGGAGAGGTCAGCCAGCTACAAATAGGAGGGTACAGAAGAGCATGGGATGGGAGGGGAGGGGAGGGGAGGGTAGCTGAACCCCTCAGTCCTGCCCACAGCACTGTGTTCCTTCTCACCTACAATGCTATGGATTTTGAATACAGAAAAACATCTTTGGAGGTAATGACCTGTGCGAGGCTGTCTGAGGTGGTCTCGCTGTCTAGGATCTCTGGGAGTAGAGGAGACTTAGCCTCCACAGTTCATGAGGTTCCTCTATGATTCCACGCCCTCTGCCAACAACCCTCCCCCACTTCACGTCACACTGGCTTTCTATTTTGTTTCTAGTGAGCTAGGCAGGGTGAGTTAGCCTCGTCTGACACTGTGGTTCCTTTAAAACTGCAGCCACAATGACACTTCGGCTTATAATACGCCAGCCAACTGATATTTTCCTGCTGACTGGATGATAACACAGTTCCACGAATCCGTGGACAAGTCTGCCACCCAAGAAAAAGGCTCCAAATTCGTCAAGTCACCTGTGGTCATCACGGCTCTAGGTCAGTTCAGGGAGGGTGAATGGGACCTGAGGGGATGCCACATAGTCATGGCAGCAGCTGCTTGACAGTGGCTGTGGCGATGCTCACAGACGAGTTCATGAACTGATTACTGATGCCTGCTATGGACCAGGAAGGGAGTGTCAGTGAGAACTGCCCATCACTCACCTGTCCTAAGACCAGAGACCACGAGGGACATGACGTCCACAGGTCCCATCGCTGCACACACCTAACACCCAAAAGAGCAGCACCTAAGCAGTCTACCGAGCTTGTTTCATCTTCACAGCAGCTGAAGCATGGAAAGCTAAGGAGCTGGTGGTGGTCCCACCGGCTCTAAGTGGCCACACAGACGCCCAATCCACAACCCACCTGTACCATGACTGGGCTGCAGCGAATGGCAGGAGGTGGGTGGATGCACTACAGAGCTCCCAGCCCAGGATGCCGGCCTTTGTGATGCTGAGCACCAGCACCGGAGTCCAGGGCTCAAACCCCGCCCATCGCCAACTGCTGTGTGTCCTCAACCAAACCCTTCCCCCCCTCTTGCTGGGCTCGGGGCTCAGCCTTCTCCTCTATGGGTGCAGGGACCATGGGTCACACCCTTGTCATTTATCTCCAGCACCTGCCAGGTTGCCCACAGATCAAGATTTTCTAAATTGGGTGAAACTCTACATAGTACTCCATGTTCAGAGGGCTTGATGCAAAGCAGCTAGGGAAGAATTAAACCAAATGCTCTTGGGGTGGGAGGAATCAAGCAGAGCATAAACCTTACTGATTTCCTTAAGCCTCAGGCAGCTGCTTAAGATAGGCAACCCAGATAATTAAAAAGGGGCCTAATTCCATTCATTGAGCGCATGTTAATGCCTCCTCTGTGCGGTAGAAGGAGCGTTAAGTCAGGCATTTGAAGCTATTTCCAAGGCAAGATTTAGACAGCCTGTGAATAATTCCCAAGGTCCTCGTAATGGCAGGATTATACACTCAGCTGGAACAGCCATGTACACGCTCCCAGCTGAAAAGGCCATACAAGTTCTCTAATCAGGCTTGGCTCAGGCTAAGGCCCCATCAGCGTGTGTTTCTGAGCACAGAACACAGCCTGCCACTGGGGCTGGGAGCAAGAGGGGACAGGGCTGGGGACAGACAGACCACAGAAGGGACTGCAGAAAGCTGGTGGAGGGCAAGTCATAGAGGGCCGGCCAGCAGGGTTTCTAACAATGGCTAATGCTTCCTGGGCTTGATGGGCCTGACCAAATAGGACCCAGAGCTCTGTGGACCCTGGGAAGCCTCCCTCATTATGTGCCCAGGTCCATCGCATAATCTGAACATCCACCCAGCCTTTCCAAGTCTCCGGCCCCAGGAAATCCCCGGCCACACCTGCTGTGGCCCATGGCCCACTATGGCAGAAGATCTACCCCCTAGCCCACCCCTGGAGACCAGCAATACCAGAAATTTGGGCACAGGCAGAGACCTAGTACAAGGGGAAGACAGCAAGCCCTACCTACCCAGGCCTGTCACCTTCCGCAGACAGGTAAGGGCTTGCTGCAGGCGGCCACACTCCTCGGCGCTGGCCCCACAGCGCTGCAGCATCTCCTTTGTCTTGGCCTCGTCCATCTCCAGCAGGGCATCCAGCTGATCCCCGGTGAGCTCTCGGAGGATCTCCTGAGGAGCACAGAAAGGACACGCAGAGAGCCGGGTGAGCAGGCAGGCAGGGCCTAATGCCCCGGCATCCGCGGCCCAGCCCTCCCCGCTGAGTGGCAGGGGCCAGCTGCCGAGTGGTGGGCCAGCCTCCCCCACCACTTGTCTGAAGAGACAGGCACCCTCCCCACCGCCACAGACAGCAGCTGAAGGGGAGACGCCAACTCTGGGATAGCTGCAGGGAAGGAAGGAAGAAAACACAGGAAAGCTGGGCATGAGGGAGTTTCTTTTTATTCCTCTACCTAGGAGTTAGGAATCTTGGCTACTGTTTACAATGACAAACACTTCAAAGAGGGCCCTTTACAACTGTGTCCTACCTGAAACAGACAAGAGAGATTTCAAATAAAGTTGGCCCAAAAGGGATTTAAAAAAATAAACAAATAATCCTCACCAGGCTTCACAGAGGCACTTACTAACTTATTTATTTTACTCATTTTTGAAAGCCAGTCATCTGCAGGGAGTCGAGGCACATGCCTGTAATCCGAACACTTGAGAGGCTCAGTCAAGACAATCAATGTAAGTTCAAGGTTAGCTTGTCTCAAAAAACTAAAAACAGAAACAATACCCAGTCACCCAATCCACGTGATACCTAAAGGGGACCAGACTGGCTGTGTCACCTAGTAGAAAGAGAAGAGACTGGAAGAACTTTAAGTTGATCTATGACTTTCACCCCACGTGCCATTCTTGATGACATTGTATTATACAGCGACAAGGAAATAGGCCAAGTAGGCTTACAAGAGCCCTTCACACACAAAAGATTTTCTCTGGGTAGCAGCTGAGTTCAATGTAAAAAAGAACTTGGTAAAGACTCTGTGGAGATAGAGGAGGAAACCTGAGAAGGAACACAAGTGGGCGACACCAGCTGACAGCCAGCAAGGAAATGGGGACCCTCGGGTCTACAGCCATAATGGGGCACTGAGAATGATATTCCCAAGAGGTGGCATTCGGGGGCATGTTGAGCGATGTGACCTAAACTTAGGAAATTAAAGGCTTTTCAAAGCAGACGTAGCCGCCAGGTCCTGTGGCCTTGGGTTGCTTCTCCCTCCCGGGGCAGGGAGACCTTCTCTCTGGAAGTCTCCTACCTGCATGAAGATCAGAACGCAGGCTGGGCATGGTGACACAAGCCTGTAATCCTGGCACAGGGGACTGAGGCAGGAGGACTGCATGTTCAAGTCCTGCCCAGACAACTAAGCAAGACCATTTCTAACTTTTTTATAAGATAAAGAAGGGCTAGGGATGCAGCTCAGGGATAGAGCAGCCGTGGAGTTTGATCTCCAGTTCAAAAGCATGGAGAAAATATAAAATCAGACTACACTAGGAGGCGCCACTGCCTCTGTCCCATCTGAAATCCCAGTGTCTACCTCAGAAAAGATGGCCAGGGACTGTCACTGTACCTGCATGGCCTTGCACTATCTATCCCTTGGGCGCACCCAAACTCCATGAGAATCCAAAGCTACACCCCCACATCCTCCTTCCCTTACAGAAACCTAGAAAATGTGTTGGGCTGGGGGTCGCACAGCCAGTGATTCTGTCTACGCACACAGCAGGTATGCGCGTCTTTTCTCCTATTCAATCTGCCTTCATGAATTTATTTCAAGGGATCGTGGAAGCGCAGAAAGGAAACTGCCTTTCTCCCTGAAAGCCGTAAGGCAAGGGATTCCTATCAACAACCTACAGGAACTCAGCAGCGTTCTCTTCCTCAACGCTTATGAATTACAGGCCTGCCTGACCTCCGCCTTATTCGGCCTTTTTAAATCCTAAGCAAGGAAGGTAGCAGAACCTTCACTGTCCACTACTGAGCTGTGAGCTACTACATGGGGGAGACTTTAAGTTGCTAAATATGTACAGAGCAATAGAAAAGCACCACAGAGCATGCATACTTGAATGGGGACCAACTGCCTTCAAAGTTTAGGCTTTCCTCAGAAGGCAGTACACACAGCTGATGTCCCTTGCCTTCAGGGGTGTGCATGAGGGAGGGGAATGTCAACACTAACAAGAAACTACAATGCAAAGGAACAGCAGAGAGCAAAAAGTAGTGCACGACCCACTGTGTTCTTTCTTTTTCTTTAGCCCTTTCTGTATTTTCCAGATTTTCTGTAACAGGGAAAGCTAGACGCGATCCTGAGAAGTTCACAGTTCTTAAGAACCCAATTTTTTTTAACAATTCCCACCCCTTGCAAGTTGTGTCTAATTTTACTTTAAAAAAGCAACATCCACTATCAGTGCCTTCACGATGCTGTAAGTCTTAAGACTCAAGCCCCGAAACTGATCCTGATGGAGAAATTGGCCAGGCTCTGAGGATAATGACGGAGAGCCCGCCCCAGCCCCTCACCCCACAGTGTCTTGGCCCCGCTGCACCTCACAGCATATGCCCCTCCCACCGGGGATGTGGGTGACAGTCGCTACCGTTTGCACCAAAATGAGAGACAGATGTGTAAAAGCACCAAGGAGCTCAGCGTTTGTCAGACAAACCTTTGCTGGCCAGAAACCCCCTCCAGAAGATAAAGAGGAAAGCAGGAAACCGCTGATGAGGACAGCACAGTCAGGGGAGGCTGATTAAATAATGATCCTCCCACCCCTGCCTTTTTTTCCGATTCTGCATTGCAAGCCACTCCTCTTTTACCTGAGGGAACTGGGGGGGGGGCCAGACTGGAAGTATTAACCCACCTGCTCCAAGCCCCGCCCACCTTCCACAGAGCCGGAGGGGTCCTAGAGTTCACCAATCACATCACCACCCACAGACACCCATACATCAGCACACACCCCGCAGACACGGACACAGACACAAGTTTCCAGGCTGGCTGTGATAACTCAGCTGTGCCCTGGAAGCTGAGATCTGCCTGATGGCGCCCGAGAGGGACCCAATCCCTAATCTACCAATTAATGCAAATGGGGTTCCCTTTGTGCCTTCCATTTTTTTCCCATAATTTTATTGATAAACAAATAGCAATGAGACAGTTTCAAATCAAATTGGTAGGACAGTTTCAATAATTAACACATTGCATCCATTCCTCCTAGTGGTTCTGTGCCTTCCTTTATCTTCCCCATCTCCCCACCTGCTCCAAGTTTCAGTTTCTCAAACCTACTTTCATATTTATTCCTACACTCACTCTTACCTACATTCATTATTACAAGGTCCTTGTCAGCAAACATATCCAGCGCTGGCGCACACTGACTTTGCGCTAAGCAGTTCCGCAGGGACAGTTGCTCCGTGTGTTGGGTTAAGGTTCTCAGACCTCATGTGAATTAATGAAAACAGCTGGGCAGAAGGAAGCCCAGATGTGCCAGATTCCACGGCTCCTTCAGTGGCTTCATGCTGTCACTTGGTCACTTGGAAAAGCCTTGGAACTTGAGACATTAATTTTTTTTTTGTAGGGGGAGGGGTGTAAATCCAAATTTTACCTACTTTCTGAATAAACTACAATGTAAAATGGAATGTTCTTTGTTCTTTGTGAACTAACACCTGGGAAAAGGGAAAGACAGAATACGTTCAGAGCCATCTGAAAAAATGAAAAATGTAAAAAGGCCACCCCATAGCTTCATATGAGCCAGATTGTGTCTCTTAGGCCGCTGTGGCTTCGGGCATCAGTGTGTTCCCCTCACACAAGGCAGGAGGGGCACCTCTCCCTTGCACTCGCTCCGTACGCTCCAACTCCAGTGTTAGAGGGAGAGCCAGACCAAACTGGTGGGTGGGCAGGGGTGCTGGCCAAGAGAGCCATTCTAGAGCCTTTATTATTGGAGCTACCCCTGCCTCTGCCAGGACAAGCCACTGGGCCGTGAATTAAGCACTCCCACAATCGTTAAAGTGGTCACTACACAGGCCACCGCGCCTGCGATTATCACTGGTACCCTAAGGAATTGTTCCTCTCTTGCTCAGTCCCCCTCCTTGCAGGGCCTGATTACTGAGCCATGACCCCGGCCTCCTTAGAAGCTGAGGTAGGAGGAATTTGCCACCAGTCCACAAGCACGTGATCTGGCAAAACAAAGGTCTCACCTCATAACTGTGAGGACAGAACAAATCACCTTCCTTAGGATAAGCAGAGCCACTAATCTGTGAATGGAGACTTTATAGGAAGCAATGTAATGCCCTCCAATGGTTGATCAATGACTTTTGGTTTGGTTTGGTTTGGTTTGGTTTGGTTTGGTTTGGTTTGGTTGAGACAGGGTCTCACTACATAAACCAGACTGATCTTGAAATCACTACATAGCCCAGGATAGCCCCAAACTCATGGTGATTCTCTTGACTCAGCCTCACAAGTGCTGGGATTACAAGCATGTGCCACCACACCTGGCTCAATGACTTCTAAAACTATAGGTTTCTAAAGCTATGGGCAAATGGGGAGGGACACCTCCCAGCAGCAAGGACTCTGGGTAGCCAGGCCTTTTCAACAAGCCACCCAGCCTAGATACAAAGTACCAGGCATCCAGACTATCTTAGGGCTCAAAGTTAACCAAGGGAAGAAAGGGTATGAGATACGTTATGCTTGAACCCAGGCATGAATATAAGAAGAAAAATATCGCCTACCAACCCAGGCCTGCAGCTAGAGGGGTCTTCCTGAGAGGCCCAGGGGCTGTGCTGATCCCGGGCAGTGGCCCTGATGTCACCCAGCATCATGGCTCAACCATGCCCCAAAGCAGCATGTAGGGATGTGACCTGCTACACAGTGACAGAACAGCCAAGGCTGCCTTACATCACCGCAAGCCAGAGGAACTCTCTCAACCTCTTGAGATGACCTCTAACCAAAAGCAGGTCAGGGGATCAACTTTACCTCTTGCTTAGGGTAAATATGTCGATAAAGTCATTCAGAAACCCTCTCCGGCCTGATACACCTGCCTAGAGGCCCAGAAGATACCAGGCCATCTCTTGGCCTCAGGCAAAGGGTCGTGTCCTCAGCCCCCATGGAATTCAGGAGAAGAGATGGGGCTCCAAACCCTTACTGCTTCCAGGAGAATCACTGCCCACC